CTCTCTCTCTCTCTCTCTCTCTCATTAAGGAGTTTCTTGCACATCTCTCTCTCTCTCTCTCTCTCTCTCTCTCTCTCTCTCTCTCTCTCTCTTTAAGCAGTCTCTTGCGCATCGCTCTCGCTGTGCCAGCATACCCTCTATCTTTCTCGCTCACGACCTTTCATCACACGACCATACTGCGATTCTGCCCGTTTAATGCCGGTCTCGCAAGAGTGTAATCTGTACCACGTTCATCCATTCAGAGGATAAAAAAAATTATTACCGGTAATGATTATAATAGTAATAATGATAATATTAATAAAAATAACAATAACAATGAATATTATGGTGGACACTCACTGACCTTCAGCCTGTGCCTCTTCCGCTACTGCTCACCTACTCGTACATAGACAAGATGATGCTCGTTCACGAGTTCCTCTGCTGCCCTAGCTACACACGGACAGGAGCGTACTTGTTCGCTCGCTCTGCTCTTATCTGACCCTTTGCACTGGGTTTCTCTCACCTGCACACTCGATCAAGGAGCTGCTTAGATTCCGCTCTTGCCAACTGTGATTGGATCTTCAGCCAGAAGATWGAACAGTACGTTACCATAGTTCCCCCCCTTTCAGCTGGGTACTGAAAAGACGGCCATTGAGTACCCGACTGTAAAGGGCACACGTTAGATTTTGACCCTGAACAGCACCAGCGCTCTGCAAACGCCGCGCTCGCCAAAAGCCTCTCGCTCTTCTACCAGCCGAGACTTCTCAGCGACGACCGATGARCGCCTCACTATGTACCCCAGGCACGCTTCCCCCCACTACCCCACTCCGGATGTCTCTCTTCTACTCCGAACCGGGTTGTCTCAAGCAATCTTGAGTGTGGACTGAGTACGCCTGRCACGCCCTCTCTCCAGTCCCTCAATGACCTCCCGTCTACCCGCAAGTCCTTTCTATACCTCGCCTGAGACCAATTGCACTGGTCTCTCTACTCGTTCAGCGTCGTGGGCCCCAAAGTCCCTGTAGCTCCAAAGGCCTGGAAAAGGGGCAGCGGGTAGCAGTGATTTTCGAAGTTTTAGG